TTTTTTTTTTTTTTTTTTGATTAATTTGTGTTGGTGTGATAGACTGTAACTTGGGTTAACGCGCTAGCCCAAGAATTCATGGAGCTTGTGAAGGAGCGCAACAGCCTGCAAAAGGAAAGGGATGAGCTGTTGAAGAAAAACGGGGAAATGAAGAGGGAACTGGATATTGTGGTACCAGCAGTGACAAGCTTACAAGAGGAGAGAGACACACTAAAGATGATTCTCTCATTCGAAGAAAAGAAAAGGAAAATGTGCAAAAAAGAGAATGAAGCACAAAAGGAGGAAATAAGAAGGATGAGAGAATACGAGGTGGAACTCAAAAAGAATGTCCAACTACTGGTCCACAAAGGGATGGAGGAGCATATTAGCAACTTTATCAACTCCAGTTCGTTTGACAACATCGTCAATCTCTATCGGCTGCCAATTGCAATCCTCACCTTCATTGATTACAGAAAGAAGGTGAAAGCTGAGTATCCCGAAGTGGATATTACCAAGATCACCTTCGGTGAACAAGAGGAAGGGGTGGAGGAGAACAACGAAAGCATGTTAGTAGATTTTCGATCTCAGGTTAAGCTGAGGTGGGATCATGATGAAGAAAGACGCATCGTTTTTCCTCTTAACTTCGACTTCAAGTTCGTAGTAGTGGAGGAAGAGGAAGGAGAAGCAGATGGGGCTGAAGTTGAGGAAAGTCAACCATCTCCTCCCGTGGAGGTGCATCTAGTTCCTTTTGAAGAAGAGCAGCCACCTTTTGCAGCAGAGCAGGAGCCACCCTAGCCACCTCCTCCAACGGAATAGTTTAGGGATCTATTATTATTATTATTATTATTTATTTATTTATGTATTTAGGATTTGAACAATGATTAGTGTACACATTTTTTGATTAATTTAAGGAAAAAAATTTTAAATTAGTTTGGTTATTTATTTTGTGCTTTTAATTATTTTGTATTAACGTAAGGATTTAGATAAAGTAAAGCATTTCGGATATGAACTAAGATGGAGAAAATAACCTCAGATAACCTCAGATATGAGCTGAGAAGAAGAAATCACTTCAGATGTGAAGTGAAATTCATTAATAAAAGTGCAGTCCAAGGAATAGATTCCAAACAGATTGACCTCAGATATACAGGATAACAAATGAAATGAATCTCAGAAATGAAGAAGTAATAATTATAAAGAAGAATAAGATGAAGATCACTTGAAAGAAATTTATTAGAGGTAAAATTTCTTCAAGTTATTAACATTCCAGACTCTAGGAATTCGCTTCCCTTTAGCGTCTTGGAGGATATAGGCACCAGGATGTGGCACTTCGGCCACTGTGTAAGCACCTTCCCAATTCGGGGCCAATTTGCCAAAACGAGTTTCAAACCCTATTAGGCCAGCCTTTCTGAGAACAAGGTCTCTTACTTTGAATGTTCGAGGGCGGACTCATTTGTTGTAAAAGTTGGCTAATTTCTGCTTGTATACTAGAGTTCGAAGTCGCACTTCTTCTCTGACTTCGGCAAGCAGATCAGGGTTTTCTCGAAGCAATTGTCCATTTCGTCCTTCATCAAAATGAGTTACCTTGAAACTTGGGACTCCTTTCTCAATAGGAATGATTGCTTCAGTACCAAAGGCCAGGTGGTAAGGAATTTCACCTACTTCATTAAGTTAAAATTTTTAGTATATGCTTTATGTGTTGTGCATATTGTTCTAGGGTAAAGCAGCAGCTGAGGAACTAAAATAGAATGAAATTAACTTGAGTTGGAAATGGTACCTATGACAATTTAGCTCATTGTTCTATATGCCCATAGGACGTTGTTGAGCTCGTCTACCCACCTAGCCTTGTGTTGCTCCAACCTCGGCTTTATTCCCTTTAGGATAGCTTTATTGACAGATTTGACCATACCATTGGATTCCGAATGGTATACAGAGGTAAATTGTAGTTTGATTCCATAACTGGAGCAGAATTTTCTAAATGAAGAGCAGTTAAACTGAGTACCGTTATCAGCTATGATCTGATTTGGGATTCTATATCTACAGATGATTGAGCCGAAAACAAAGTCTTCAACTTTTTTGGAAGTAAGACTGGATAATGGTTGAGCTTCAACCCATTCTGTAAAATAGTCAACACCGACGATCAGATGGGTTGCACCACCGACCCCTTTCACAAATGGGCCTAAAAGATCAAGCCCTCACTGAGCAAATGGCCAAGGTGCTACTAGGTTGGTGAGCTCTTCTGTCAGTTGGTGAGTTAAATGTTCGAAGAATTGGCACTTCGGGCATCTCTGTATAAAGTGGGTAGCATCCTTATACATATTCGGCCAGTAATATCCTTGTCTGAGGACTTTGTGGGCAAGGGTTCTAGCACCGATGTAGCTTCCACAAACACCTTTATGGACCTCCCGAAGTGCGTGCTCAGCTTCATAAAGATTCAAGCATCGTAGGAGGGGGAGCGAGAAAGATCTCTTATAGAGGACTTCATCAACGAGTGTGTATCGAGACGCTTTCTTCCTCAACCTCATCTCTTCTTGCTTATCTTTAGGCGCCGACCCATCTCGCAAAAAGGAGACAATTGGGTCTATCCAGCTTGGTGTATTCGAGTTAGTGCTGATCTCCATCATTTTTAGCTTTATGAAGCTCGGTTCATCTAAAACTTCAACGAAAAATGATCTGGAGCTTATGGAGCTGTCAGAGGCAAACTTAGAAAGTGAATTTGCCTGTTCACTCTTACTTTTGGGGATTTTGCTCAAACAAAATTTCTGGAATTTGCACTTTAGCTTAGCCACTAGGGCCACATATTTCATCATGACAAGATCAACAACTTCGCAGATTAAGTTGACTTGATTAACCACAAGCTGCGAGTCATTATAAACTTTTATGGCCATGACTTTCAGCTCTAACGCGAGTTGCAGACCAAGTAGTAGAGCTTCATATTTAACCATGTTATTAGTTGCATCAAAGTTAAACTTCAAAGCATGCTCACTTCGATATCCCTCTGGGCTAATTAAGAGAGCACCAGCTCCTGAACCCTTGCTACTAGATGCTCCATCAACATATAAGGTCTAGTCGCTCAGCTTGGTGTTAGGGTTTGAGTGACGTGGGGTGCATTCCACGATGAAATCTGTTAGCGCCTGAGCTCGGATCGCGGATCTCTACTGAAATGTTATCTCAAATTCTCCCAGTTCTACTGCCCACTTAATTAACCTTCTGGAGTACTCCGGCTTTTGAACGATCTGTCGAAGAGGTTGGTCTGTGAGGATTATGATCTGATGTGACTGGAAATACGGTCTCAATTTTCTTGCCGAAGTGACAACTGCCAACGCTGTTTTTCAGCAATATGGTACCTTAGTTCTGCTCTATGCAGCACACTATTGGTATAATATATTGGTTTCTACTATTTGCTTTCTTCTCTCACTAGTACTGAGCTGATTACTTCATCAGAAATACCGAGGTACAAATAGAAAATTTCTCCATCTATAGCCTTTGTCAACAGAGGTGGTGAGCTAAGATAGGACTTCAACTCATCAAATGCAGCTTGGCACTCTTAGTTCCATTCAAACTTCTTCTGTTTGCCAGATTCATCCTTCTGGGTTGCTGACCGCATGATTTTAAAGAATGGCAGGCACTTATCTGCTGACTTTGAAATGAATCTATGAAGAGCTACCACCCTCCTAGTTAATCTCTATGTGTCTTTCACCGACTTTGGTGGTTTCATCTCGGCTATTGCTTTGATCTTTTCCGAGTTAATCTCAATCCCTCTCTCGGAAACCATGAATCCCAGAAATTTCCCAGATTCTACGCTGAAGATGCACTTTGTTGGATTCAACCGCATCCTGTTCTTCCTGAGGTTATTAAATGTTTCATCAAGGTTGGCTAGGTGATCCTCTGCCTTTAAGCTCTTCACCACAATATCATCGACATAAACTTCTAGATTCTTGCGAATCTGAGCTCGGAAGACAATGGTCACCATTTTCTGGTAAGTGGCACCCGCGTTCTTTAAGCCAAATGGCATCATGACATAGCAATAAATTTCATCACAACATAGAACGAGGATTTCTCTTCATCCTCCAGAGCCATTGGCACCTGGTGGTAACCAAAATATGCATCCAAGAGACTTAATCTCTCATTTCCAGAAGCTGCTTCAACCAGTTTGTCAATGCTTGGCATCGGATAGTAGTCCTTGGGACAAGCTTGGTTGAGATTTGTGTAGTCGATGCACATTCGCCATTTACCATTTGCCTTTTTGACCAACACCGGGTTAGCCACCCATTCGCAGTAATCAACTCTTCTAACGAAACCAGTTTGTAGGAGCTTCTCTACCTCTTCTTTTATAACCTGAAGCCTCTCCCCCACAAAGAGACGTCGCTTTTAGGTTATTGGTTTCTTTAATGGATTAGTGCTGAACTTGTGTTGAGATACCGAGGTTGGGATCCCTAGCATGTCTGCTGAGGTCCAAGCGAAGACATCTTTGTTAGCTCAAAGGAAAGCTATGAGCTCTGCTCTATCCTTTGGGTTTAACCAAGTTCCAATCTGTGTCTTCTTGTTTTGATCTCTGTCATCAATTTGCACTTCCTCTACATCCTTAACTGAGGTGGCTCTAGTGTCATCCTCTGGTCGGTTGTCTACCATCTCAACCCCCATTACCTACTGATTATCATGAACTAGTTGGGGAATGGTTTCTGGTGTCTGATCTGTGCCTTTTTTAGGCCTTGTAATCGAGGTAATATAGCAATGTCTAGCCACCTCCTGGTTACCTTGTAATGTTGCTATCCCTATGGGAGTTGGGAACTTCATCCAGAGGTGAGATTGAGAGATCACAGCTTGGATCTCGGTTAACGTGGGTCGTCCAATAACAGCATTGAAAGAGGATGACATTTTCACAACTAGAAACCGAATTGAAGGGGTAACATAAGTTCGGCCACTCCCGAAAGCAACGTTGAGAGTGAGGACTCCTTCTACCTGAACAGGTTGGTTATTGAATCCATAGATGGGACCATCATACCTTTGCAACAAAGCTGGATCCAGCTTAAGACTCTCAAAACAATGAAAGTACATAATGTCTGGTGCACTCCCTATGTCCACAAGGACACAGTAGACCTCACAGTTGTTAATCATGATGAAAGTAACCAGAGGATCATTGTGAGGTGTGACAAGTATATCGAAATCAACAGATGTGAAAGTGATGGGTTGATTCTTCCAATCAGCGTCATTAAACTTTCGTTTTTGAGCTCGGTTTTGGTGCCTCACCTCCCTGACATATAGTTTTCATTGTTTGGAGCTCAAACCCCCTGCTTCCTATCCTCCGGTAATCATGTGTATAATTTTGGCCAGTGGCGGAAGCGACGGTGGGGTTTGTTGATATCCCACTCCTTGTCTATTTCCTACGTTACGAGATCCCTGCGGCTATGGCCCCTGTTCTCTGACAAACTTCTATTGCTCGGATCTCTGGATGTATTCATTTAGCATTTCCTTATGAGCTAGACTTTCCAGCTCAGACCTCAGACTATTACATTGCTCCATTGTATGACCATGATTTTGATGAAAATCACAGTATCTAGTATGATCACGTGTAGCAACGAAACTTCTCATTAGCCCTGATCGCCTCAAGTCCATCTTATTCTTGATCTGCATGAATATCTACGACTTCGGCAGATTGAAAGGGGTCCATATAACTGGTGCTTTAGTAGTAATTTGCTAGGGTGGTATCGAGTTCGGCTTTCCGAATCTCGATGTGGAGGTCATCATCGGACCTCGGTTCTGCACTGTCTTCGTTCGTTTTCTGCTCTAACCTTCATCTCTCCAATCTAGGTTTTGGTTTTTGGGAAGAATTGGTTTCTGTGATAGGGCATATTCCTCAACGGTTATGAATTTCAACGATCTGTCATTGACTTCATTAAAAGTAGCAGCAGGATGCTTGATTAAGCTATCTCTGAATCTCTCGTGTTGGAGACCTTGAATTACAGCTGCAATTCCCACGGCTTCGTTAAATGAGCTGACTTCAAGGACTGCATCGTTGAACCGGCTCATGTAATTCTTAAGAGATTCTCCTTCCCTTTGTTTGACTCGTATCAATTTAGAAATGGTTTTCCTAATCAACCTTCTATTAGAAAACTTTGTGGCAAAAGTAGATGTCATTTCTTAATAGGAGCTAATAGATCTCGAGGGCAAACTATAATACCAGGTTCGAGCATTGCCACGGATAGTGGAGGGAAAGATTTTGCACATCAATGCATCAGAAGCGTTCTAAGCTTGCATACAGGAGTAGAAGGCATGGAGGTGATCATCTGGATCATTCGTCCCATCATATGTCTCAAGCTAAGGTGTCTTGAAGCCGACAGGGTAAGGCTCCAATGTGATGTTAGTGTTTAGAGGATGAGGTATGAAATTTGTGTTATGATGTGGAGGTGGGGCACCTCGCTTCTCGACTATTAGTTTTTCTAAGCTGTCTAGACGTCGTGTGACATCATCAAGTAGAGGGTGTGGAACTGGGGTTGCATGAGACTAAACCTGAGACTCACTAAGAGCAGGAGCATGCTGAACTGGTTAAGGGTCTTACTGTTGAATAGGGGGTTGTTGAGTAGGGTTGAGTAGATTGATGAAGGGATCGCCCGGATTATTCCAAGCTAAAAGCTGGGCCAAAACTAACTGAAAGACACCAAACTGTTGTTACATGGCAGCAAGCTGAGCTGTAACTACATCTTGATTAGCAGTGGAAGCTGAGTTGTGAGTTGAGTTGTGAGGTTGGTTTTCATCTCCTCCTTCTGGTTGGTCAATAGGAGGGAATAGATCTGGGATCGGAGGTGGGAGGTAAGGTGGAAGGTTGTTGGGGGATTGACTTCGACCTTGTCCAAGAGGTTGAGCCTGATTTCTAGCTCGGAAAGATCGAGTGTTAACCATGATGAGAGAGCAACAAGAGAGCCTTTAGTTCGGTTTCCCACAGACGGCGCCAATGTGATTGCACCAAACCAGAAGTCCTTCTTCAGTCCGCGTCTTCACTTTGGATGAACCTGCAAAGCCCTGAGGTGGGTCCTCAGAGTAGACACTCCGATGCTTAAGTCAGTAATAATCGGATCTACCTCTAGCATAATGGAAAAAAAGGAGCTTTAGGTCAGTTTCAATTACCTTCCTGAGGTGGCCCCTAGGGGTATTTATAGGCCTTAGTAAGGTGTCCATGTGGCTTGCTTAACAAGATAATCAGAGTATGACGTGTCCTTTCAAGCAATAATTTCGAGACCAGGAAATTGTATGTGGTAAATCTGATGTGGGCATGTCCACTGCATTTATCATGCAGCCGTTTGACCGAGAAGTGTTGGATTTAACTTCAGCTCGGTTATTAAGGACTTGCAGCAGTACGTCCAAGGTTAAAGACCTCGGACCTATCCTTACAATTGCACTGTAAGGTTGAGCATTAGGTGTAGGCATCTATAGGCACTTGATCTATTTCAGTAGTTATTTTACCACGATTAAATGCTAGATATAAAAATGTATACTAGGTAAGAAGATTCATATTTGCATACTTGAGTTATATATCTGGCAATAAATATTCAGATCAATATCAGTTTGAAAAAAATTTTGTCGAAAACAATTTTTTTTTAGACTGACAACAAATTAGTTTGAATATTTATTTTTTCGAACCGATATTGGTCTGAATAATTAAGCAAATAGTACCATATATTTATTCATATATTGTGTTCAATAATAAAATATTAGGTCAAATCATACTACAACCAGTCTGAAAAACTTTTTATTCAAACCAATAACCATCTGAATATGTCTGGCCTCAACTGTAAATCTTAAAAGTTTGAAACCTTAGGTAATAGTTAATTGAAAGTATATATAGACCAGTATCATTCTGAATAAATATGGACTTGATTGTAAAAAATTGAAAAGTAAATTTATATAAATATTACATCAAAGAAATTAACTAATTAACAATTTATTTTTCCAATTTCATGGCGTAACTTTGATCATTTCCTACAAACAAAAATAAAAAGGAAAAGATTAGTAGATATAAAACAAATTTCACAAAATATGAAAAAAAAATAAACACTTAGTTTTACCCATTTTAGATTCTTATTTTCATCATTTCCTACAAAAAATGAAAAAAAAAAATTGATAATAGTAGATTGAAAATGAAAATAAGAAAAACATAAAAATTATATCAAAACAAATACAAGATGGAAATATGCTTATTAGGGTTTACCCAATGTGCAATTCATAAGAATCTACAAAAAAAGCAGAAAAGAAAAAAAAGGCAAGTTAGTGGAAATTTATATGTTAGCATAAAAATAAGAAATGAAATACCAATATATATACATTAAAGATATGAAAATATGAAAAGAGTAAAACAAATAGAAGTAGAAAATAATAGAAGGAAAGGAAAGAATAGGAGGAAAAAGACGGATGAGGTGATCAAAAGAAAAATTAGGAGAAACAAAAGAGACAAAAATAATAAAGAACAAGGGAAGAAAAAAGAGAGAGAGGAAGGGAAGCAAGAAAAGAGGATGCACAAAATAGAATGAGGGACAGGGCCAAATAAAAAAAATAAAAAAAAAAAGAACTAATCTGAGGAACGAGGCACAGCTGTCTTAAATACACGAAAATCATTTAGACCGTATATGATCTGAAATAAAAATTTTGAATTTTGGCACACTGTAACTAGATTTTTTATTTTTTAGAAAAAATTTGACATTTTATTATTTCATACCGTTATTTTTTTTTTTCACATTTTGTCATGGGACCGGCTCGAACTGTCCCTGGGAGAGGGGAACATAAACTTTACAAACGTGACTAGAGCCACTTGACCCGAGGGTCATGTTGTATTTCATACCGTTATTGGTACGCATATTACTAAAATTTTCATTTCCTACTTTATTTTGTCAAAGAAAAGGTGCAGATGTATTTCAAACCAGCAACCGGTCTGAATAACATTAGCAGTCACGTCTGCCTTGTGTACAAAATTTACTAGTCAAGGAAATTGACAAGAAACTTGAAAGTCAAAACCCTATTTAAGCCTCTCACCTTTTTTGACAGTAAGTGAAAAGTCCCTAAATTATAAAGATGACAAGTAAACCCTCTAACCCCATGTTTGCTTCTTTTTTTCCTTTTTTTTTTTTTTTTTTTTTT